TTGGGAGAATACTTTTGCTAATTAATTGAGTCAAGGGAAACCCTTAATCCTTTATATTGAATGAAAATTTCGTGGGTCTAATTGATATATGAAAACAAAATTTACTTGCACAAGAAAATCCAAGAAAAGCATTAAAAACAGCGAAAATAGAAAATTCTGCAGAAAAATCTTAACCAACTATAAGTGGGTATTTTGAAGGAATTTTATTGATGACTTTGCTTGTTATGTGTTATTGTTACGATATTAGGCTGATTATATGTGAATCCATACCTTGAAATTAATTGAAGATTTTGTTAAAGTTTTTCGTTTACAATAAGGAGTTTTCTGTCAGAAATTGTTTACTATTTCTGTAAATATTCTTTTGATGCATGATCTGAGTTCTAAGTTTTTGTTTAAGTTTTATATAGCATAAATACTATAAAATTAGTGAAAATTTTGTGATTAGGCTTTGGTAGAACATAAAAATGAATTTTCATAAATTTTTAAGAAGATTTGCAGTTCTTAAATAGTTATAATTGTTTTTGTGTTGATTTTTATTTTTTTCAAATTTTTAAAAATCATGAAAATTTTCCTAAGATATTAGCTTGTATTATCATTGTATTCTTGATATTTTGGATTTATCTTGACTTGAAATAATATTTTAAATGTATTTTTAAAGATTTTGAATGAAAGGGAAAAAGGAAAATAATTTAAAAATAGAAAAATTACTAAGAAATAAGCTTTAGACTCTTGGACAGTTTTTGGAACCTTTGAAGTATAAGAATCATACGAATATTGACCAAGATATGCAATTAAATTTAAAGGATTGGACCTTTAGATGAGAAAATATTATGATTGGACCATAAATGGACTTCAAAAAGTTTAAATTAATTAATCACATGAGTAGTAGGACCAAAGGAATGTTTTTGACCATATTGAGACCTGGACAATGACTTAGAGGAAAAGAAAAAATGTGCTGGACAACCTGAGTTCTTAAATTTTTGGAAAAAGGACCTAATTACAATTAACATAAAGTAAAAGGACTAAACTACAAATAATGTAACATATGAGAAAACCTTTGCAAAAAATTTTGTTAGTATTTTATTCATGTAGATAATTAAATTTTGAAAATTTTTCCACTGGTTTATTTTATTTGGATTTAAATTGTATTAGTTATGATTTTTCTAAAATTCTGATACATGAAAATAGTATTCTGGGGGCAGTATGACTTAATTCAATTTCATTTTAATATCTCTGTGTGAAGTTATTTTATCTTTATTTTTGGTATAAAAATAGACTTATTAATGAAACTATTCTCACTAGTTTCACTTTATTTGTAATTGAAACAAAATAGATATGAATTTTTGAATATTATAATGTGTGAAAATGATTCCTGAGAACAACTCACTTTAAGTTCCTTTATTCTTACAATTCATGCATGATGTGATTTTATTTATATTTTTGTACAAAACTATACTTCATGAGGAAACCATAATCACTGAGTTTACTTAAATTGGAGTTAAAACAAAATACTTATGATTTTCTAAAGTTTCTATTATATGAAACTAATGGTTTGTGCATATTGCTGAGAAACTTGATTTCATTTTTAAGGATATATATGGTGTTATTTTATTCATATTTTTTCATGAAAATATATACTATAGGGAAAATATCCTCACTGGTTTGATTAAATTTGGATTTAAAATAAAATATTTATGATTTTTATATTTAACTGATTCTAAGAAGTGAGTTAATGTGAGCAACAGAGAATAATTAGGTCTATCTCTGAGATATGAAAGTGATGAATTTCTACTTGTATTTTTTTGTGAAACTATATAAGCAAACTGAAAGAATTCCACTAATTTCATGAATTTTGGTGGTGAATTGAATAACTTATGATTTTTTATATATGCAGTTGCAGAATTATGCTAACCTGTGACATGTACTGATAAAATTAAAGCACGAATTAATGTATGTAAACAGTTTGAACGTGAAAGTATTTTTAGTTTAAAATAGACATAATACTAAGAATAATCTCACTGGTCTCATATGTTTTGGAAGAGAATTGAATTTATTACAAATTTTACAATTTACTGGATTGTAAAAGTGGCATCATATGAGCAGTAGAAAGAAACTAAGTTAAATGTTACTTTCTGTATAAAAATTATTTATGTGCATTTTTTTTTTTGAAAATTAGACACTTAAAGAAAGAAAACCTAAGTGATTTCATGATTTTTGGATTTGTATTGAATTAGTTATGAATTTTACAAATTGATGCATGAAATCTGGAAAAAAAATCCGAAAATAGCCATGTCCATAAAATGAATGATTCTCTTGTTTTAAGGGATGAATGATTATGAAAGTGTGTATCCAATGGGCAGATTAATGACTAGAATTCATTTTGTGATTATGAAACAGTTCATAGGGACAGTGGTTGAAAATGCCAGGTACATGCGAGGGGCAAATAGTGTTAGTTTTACCATAGGGGATAGTAAGGTACCCAAGTCCAAGTAAGAGACCAAACCTAGAAAATTTGTGTCGCAGGCAGTGAAAAATATGCTAAACTATCCTGATAGGCACTAGAGCATACCAAGATTGGTTAGAGTGTGAGCCGCTATGAGTGACCATAAAATTTGAGCATGGTTGCTCAGTTCCCTATTTGGGATGTTGTACCTATGGCACTATCTGGATTGCGGGCACAAAACTCCCAATCTTCAACCCAGAAAATTAAATGGATAATTAATTACTCTATGGAGAAAAGAAATAATACTAATAAAATACTATGAGATGCTTATTCATAAGTTATGTAGTGGTTATTTTTATTCAGCAATTAATATTGCCTTATAAAATAATTTATGAATGATTTACTCACCCTTTCTTTGTTTGTGTCTATTAACTATGTTATGAATGCAGAATGAGTGCTGGAAGTATTCCTATTCCTGAGCAGAACATGACCTTTAGTATGGGATTGGGAACGTGGAGCCATAATAATGCTAATCAAACTATTATCTTTACTGGTTGTGTGATACTAACTGTTACTACTATTAACAACTCCCATATTGCTCCCATAATTATACAGAGTCCTGTTAGAGTTGAGATTCCCTACCCCATGTATTGTACAGCAGCTTACCTAGGCCTTCATGCTGATCCTCCTCCAGATAGATTAGATGACTAGAAGAGAGATCTGCTCGTAAAGAAAAAAAAAATAGTCAACAATGGGGTATATGTAAATTATGAGTGCTTAGGATCTTTTCGCCTGACCTTCATTTTCCTTTAGTTTGTAAAATACTTGAATAACCTAGGAAAGGTAGGAGGTCTGTATTAAATTATCTACTGTTGAACAACAACTCTATATATATGTAGATGTACATTATGTGTGGGATATATGCCTTCATTTATGTTTATTGAACATGTTAAATTTATTAGAGTCTCTAAGTTGAACATAATAACATAATAATTAGGATGAAGTTATTAATAATAACTAGACGTCTCAGTGTGGGGAAGGGGAGGGAAAAGGGTGTGCAGCACATAAGGGAAGAGATGGGGTGGAGAGGAGTGTCCAACGAAGAGGAGAAAGGAAAAGTGAAAAAGACTTTTTTTGCAAATGTTTATAATATGTTTATAGATTATTTACAAATATTAATTTTAAATAATAAATTATTATTAAATTAAATGACGTGACATGTCATGACATGTAGAAGTATTGAACTAACTCTCCATCAACCAACTCAATATTTAACAGAAGAGAGTTGACGGCAAAGACTAAATCCTAACTTCTTAACTTTTTAGAGACTAAATCTTAACAAAAAAATTTATAAAATCTTATTATAAAATGTTAATATTTATAGGGACTAAAAATATAATTAAGTCTTTTGATATGTTATAGTATATCCATACCAAGATTGAATCTTACCAATCATGAGTTTTATCTTAAAAGAATGGTTAAATTCTACCATTAGCATGATATATTATATAATTATTTATGCATTCAACTTTCTATGATCTGGGAAATTATTGCACTTGTATAACAGTGTGATTTGTTATACTTTCAAATTTTTTAAAATTATTTGTTCTTTCGTTAACTAGCTGGAATAAGTCATCCACAATTTATGTCATAGCTAATATATTTATAATAAAATGTGTTTAGTGGACTCAAATACTTTGTAACAAACAATATAAGTGTGTGTGTTTTTTTTTTTTTCTAAAAGTTCATATTCTCGTACTTTTATAAGAAAAAGATATCTTTAAAAATTAACAAATAAACCTATATGTGTAATTGAATCTATGGGTGTGAATTGGCATGCGTGGAGAAAAAGAAAAGAAAGGTTATGCACATGAATTTATAATAAGAATGAAGAAAATTTTGGTATAATTTATTTTACGACTCCAAGAGAACACAAAATTTTAATTATTTTACCTATTAAATTCATAAATTGTATTAATAATAAATACTTTAGCATGAAACTTAATTTTATAAAATACATTTTAAATTTCTAAAATTGTTAAAATCTTCATACATCTATTTACATATATACAGACATGCAGAATTATTTCAAATAATTTTCTAATCACATACTAATGTAACGGTTTGCGTAAAAAACCGAAATGTTACGCTCTATCAATGAAATGCCTCCATATTTGTTGAAACTCTCTTGTACATTTTCTTAACAGATTCGTTATCCAAATTGGAAAAATTGAACTTGCAATGTCTGATCAGACAGTAAAAACACATTCCTCCAAAGACAGAGTCACCCACCCGTCATTTTTTTGGATCTGAAACCAAATTACAAAAGTTAAGACCCACAAAATATAAATCTTCTATTATATATCTAAATACATACAACAAAAATTTATACAAAATAATTTTAATCGAAATTATATAATTTAATATTTTATTAATATTCAATATTACAATTTTAATAAAAATAACTATTTATTTAAAAAATATTTTTTTTTTGAATATGTTAAAAAATCATAAAATAATGTTAAAGAAAACAGAAATTTTGAAGCGTTGAAGGCTCGATGCATATTTCGTATTAAGCATTCAGCAATCACTCCCATACTTTCTAGTTTTTCCCTCATTTGTACAACTATTTACTGCACCGCTCAACTAAAAGCATTAACAAGACTCCGAAGTTTGACTTAGCATTCGGCAAGCTCTCTTGCTACTGGTATTATATGGCATCCATCGAAGCCATGGGATTCAGATCTTGTACACAAAATTAGACAACGCCCATCTAATATTGGACCCTTAAATTGAGTCACAATGGAGAAATTCTTTACTTTGTTGGTTGTAGTGATGTTGGGTCTGGCCATTAGCACATTGCAGATAGTGGAAGCAGCTCAGAAAGCTCCTTGGAGGATTCACACCCTCTTTTCTGTGGAATGCAATAACTACTTTGATTGGCAAACGGTTGGACTCATACACAGTTTTAGGAAGGTGAAGCAACCGGGGCACCTTACACGTCTTCTCAGTTGCACTGATGAGGAGAAGAGAAGTTACAGAGGGATGCATCTTGCTCCCACTTTTGAGGTGCCCTCAATGAGCAGACACCCCACAACTGGTGACTGGTAAAGTAGAATCACTGTTTGTAGAACAGTTAATTCAGCTTTGGGAGTTTCAGTTGGATTGAAAAATGTAGATTTGTTTGTGTGTTGTAGTGTTGTTGAGGAGTGACGTGCTATCATTGACTCTGCTTCTGATTGTTCTATGTTAGTTGTTGTCACTGTTGTGGTAGTACTTTTTATTAATGCATGATATGTAAATGAGTGTGATTGTGTTGATCCATGGAACCTGTGTTTGCAAATTTTTGTGATAGATAGATTATTCCTCTGAATGTAAGTCTTGGTATGTGTTTACATTAGTCATGTATGCTGAAATTTGTGCACACTGGATTTGTATGAGGTAGACAAGTTTGCAATGTTGATGTATTTTATTAAACATTTTGTACGAGGATATCTAGTTTTTTTGTGAGTAAATACCTATACCTATTGGCTTTTACAACAACAATATACGCCGCTTTGGATTGGGCTCCTCTAAAGTGAGGGAATGTGTGGAGTGCGAAAATGAAAATCTTTTCACCATTGATTTCAAGTTAGTTATATTTATAAAATATTTCAATTTAAATCAATGGTGGATAAAAACCTCACTTTCCCACTTCACACCTTCCTTCCCTTTATTGGAGCTCAATCTACTTTTTTCAGAAATTAATGGAGAACGTTAGTGAAATAATTTCACTACCCTTGCTTTTTAATAATGGATATATTCCTGCTAGGCTTCTAGTGCTTTTGTATTGTAATGTGTAAGTGGTTGATATCTGTCATTTCCCTTTTGGAGGGATGCGAGTTTTTAGTCTTTTGCCAAATAAGACACAAGAATATTATATTACAGAAGTGAAATCCTTTCCCGTAATAGGAGGGATAAGATATAAATTCTGTCCATTATCCAGGTACCCTGCAATAAATAAACCTGCTGGTGTTGTACATTGGCTCAAACATAGTCCAGAAGCAGAAAATGTTGACTGGGTTATCATCCTGGATGCAGACATGATAATTCGTGGCCCAATTAGGCCTTGGAAACTTGGCGCAGAGAAAGGAAGACCTGTTGCTGCCTACTATGGGTATTTACAAATATCTTATTTACTCCAGTTTCTTTTTTTACTGATTTAGCATTATAAGCTAGATATTCAACTGGTGGATGGATGTACTTATACTAATGCAGCTTCATATACAAGCTTTGAATGCCTGTTTCCTATTTATCTTGATCACAATGTACTCATTTCACATTTATGTTTGGTGGGAGAAAGAGGGGGGGGGGGGTTGTTTGAGACATCTATTGATAAATTAGAGAATATGGGGTTTGTTAAAACCCCAAACTTGAGAGATTTTGTTTCTTGACTTTGGATCATGTTATGAAATTCACTTATCTGAATCTCCTGAAATAGTTCGTATGTCTTGTATTTTATATTCAGCGTTTATATCTCCAGCTCACCATAAAAGCATGTCATAAACATGACAAAATTCTTTGTCCAGGTACTTAAAAGGTTGTGACAATATTCTGGCTAAACTGCATACAAAACACCCGGAACTCTGTGACAAAGTTGGTGGACTTTTAGCCATGCATATAGATGACCTGCGAGCTTTGGCTCCCATGTGGCTTTCAAAAACAGAAGAAGTGAGGCAAGATAGGGCTCACTGGGGAGTAAACATAACTGGTGATATATATGAGAAAGGATGGATCAGTGAGATGTATGGGTACTCTTTCGGTGCTGCTGAAGTGAGTTTGCTCTCTTAAAATGTTTTTTTTTAACTTTATAGAGAACCTAATTATCAATCACTTCATTTCCAGTTTTTGAACTATTTACCCTTCGCTTATTGTTTTGCCTTTTCCCTACATTTCACTCTTTCCTTTGGGTTTTACACTGCTGTTCACAGGTTGGGCTCCGGCACAAGATCAATCAGAACTTGATGATCTACCCAGGTTATACTCCTCGGGAGGGAACTGAGCCAATTCTTCTTCATTATGGGCTTCCATTCAGAGTGGGGAATTGGTCATTTAGTAAGGCTGAGCACGACGAGGATGACATTGTTTATAACTGTGGCCAGCTCTTTCCTAAACCTCCTTATCCCAGGGAGGTATGTAACTAGTGTATTTATCTGAGGAAACTTGTGTCTTTTAGAGAAATGGGTTCTTTTTGCCATGGCATACTTGTCTCGTCAGAGAAGAAATTTCTTTATATACTTTTACATAGAGTACCATGCATTTTTTACTATGGTGTGTATTTGTAAAACTCAGCATTTTAAGCTTCATGTTTTAGTCATTATGCTGAATTTATTAATACATCAGGTTTTTTCCAAATTTTACTGAAATTGTGAAGTTCCTTATTGTAGGTAATGCAGTTGGAAACAGATCCTAATCTAAGGCGAGGACTATTTTTAAGTATAGAGTGCATAAACATTTTGAATGAAGGTCTTCTGTTACATCATGCTGCTAATGGCTGCCCTAAACCCCCATGGTCTAAATACTTGAACTTTTTGAAAAGCAAAGCCTTTGCTGAACTAACTAAGCCGAAATACGCAACTCCTGCTACTCTAGAAATGATGGAGGATACAGTACAAGAAAATATTGATCATGATGCTGCTAGTCCATATCCTAAAATCCATACTATTTTTTCCACTGAATGCACCCCATACTTTGATTGGCAGACTGTAGGGCTTATGCATAGTTTCCATTTAAGTGGACAGCCAGGGAATATTACTAGACTTCTCAGCTGCTCTGATACGGACTTAAAGCTATATAAGGGGCATAACTTGGCTCCCACCCATTATGTCCCTTCTATGAGTCAACATCCGTTAACAGGCGATTGGTAATTGAATGAGTGTGTGTATGTTGTTTCAGTTTTCAATTGCATTATGTTTACTTTCTTATTTAGTTGTAATTTCTGGGCTGACATTTAGCTGTGACAGTTGGGACTTAGGAGTCACTTTTTCAGCATTTCTTTTTTCTTTTTTGAAGATTTTAAAAATAATTCAGCTATAAACATTCATCTTGATGAGCTCATCCTCATGATAAAGTTGTTATTTTAATTGAAACTATATTTGCCATGGTCAACAAGTTATCTACCTTGGTTGATTTTTTCTTTTTGAATTCTTTTTCTCTGATTTCTATTTCTATTGAATAATGTGTGCTTGCTAACTTGGAAATTGATGATGATTGTTTATTATTATTAATTAGTATGTTTTCTTAATGTTGTATATTGACTGTTAGTATTATTTATTGTTTGATTAAGTCCCACATCGCTTATTAATTGTTATTATGCAGTTTGATTAAGTTTCACATCCCTTATGCTTGAGTGACTTCTATCTCATCGTTATTATATAAGTAATACCTTGTAATGCATTTATATGAACAACAAAAAGCTAAGCATAACATCGATGTAGGTACATACTACGTGTATCAAATCACGTTAAATCCTTGTGTTGGTACTTCTCCCCCTTTCACTTCCTTTTATTTTCTCTCAACATCTAGTATCAACAATTTATATTAGTATTCTCTTTTGATGTAGCTTTGCCTAATCTGCTACATTAGAAAATATTTGATTTTCCACAAAGATCTTAGTTTAGAGGAAGTAGTGAGAGCTTTTTTTTAGAGAAAGCAATATGAACAATAGCGTTGGAAGAGGGGAAAGTAAGGATTGAGAAATTTGATGGCAAAAACTATGGATTCTAGAAGATGCAAATAGAAGATTATTTATATCAGAAGAAGTTGTATCAACGCTTGACAGGGAAGAAGCCAGATGACTTGGAGCAAACAGATTGGGGTTGTTGGATCAACAGGCTCTTGGTGTGATCAGATTGACGCTGGCCAAGAATGTTGCGTTCAACATTGTGAACGAGAAGACTACTGCAAATTTAATGAAGGCGTTGTCAAAATATGTATGAGAAGTCATTTGCAGACAATAAATTATATTTAATGCGCCGACTATTCAACTTCAAGATGGGAGAAGGTAATTCTGTAACTAATCACATTAATGAATTTAATACAATTCTTGTCTAGTTGGTGTTGGTGCAAATCATGTTTGATGATGAGGTGAAGGCGTTAATTCTACTATCATCCCAACTGGATAGTTGTCCTGCAACTATTATTGCAGTTAGTAATTCTACAAGGAATAAAAAGTTAAAGCTCGATGACATTCGTGACTTGATCTTAAGTGAAGACATTCGCAGGAGAGATTCAAGAGAATCTTTATCCTGCTTCTAGTTTGAACATTGAATATTGAAAGCATAGGAAGAAATAGCCAAAAGAGTCAAAATCAAGGCCGAGACAGATCAAAGTCTAGAGAAGAAAGACAGACAAAAGTCCAGAATGATATTATTTGTTTTAATTATGACAAGAGAAGTCACTTTATCAATCAATTCAAAGTTCCAAAGAAAAAGAAGTGCAATAAAAATAAGCATGATGATGATGAATCCACCAATGCAACAAATGATGAACTTGCATATGCATTAATTTGCAGCTCAGATAGTCTTCTTGACTCATAGATTATGGACTAGTGTGTTATTTTACATTACTCCTTCCATAGAATTATTATCTAATTATGTTTCTAGAAAATTTGGCAAGGTTAACCTTGCAAATGACAAATCTCTTGATATTGTGGGAAGAGGTGACATTGACATCAAAACCTTTAGTGAAACCCTAAAAACATTGCACAATATCATACATATCCATGCCTTAAAGAGAAATTTAATATCTATAGGGCAATTGGATGATTAGAGGCTTTACACCACTTTTGCAGATGGAGTGTAAAAGGTGACGAAAGACAATTTGGTTATAGCTCGTGGAAAGAAGCAAGAGTTTCTCTAAATGGTTGCAAAAAAAGGATATGGTAGTAGTTATCAAGACAGAAAATGGTTAGTTTCTCAAAGTAAAGAAAGACATCTAAAGTCAAAAAGTTGGAATTGGTGCATACAGATGTTTGAGAACCAACTCCAAGAAAATCCCTAGAGGCTCATGCTATTATGTTACCTTAATTGATAACTCTACAAAAAAGGTATGAATTTATTTTCTTAAAAGTAAATCTGATGTATTTTTTGTGTTCAAAATTTGGAAAGCAAAAACAGGTTTAAAGGTTAAAAGTTTAAAATTTGATAATGGCAGAGAATATAATAGCCAAGAGTTTAAGGATTTTTGTTCATAAAATAGAATCAGAATGATTAAAACAATACTAGGAATGCTTGAACAAGTGGTCTTGTAGAAAAGATGAACAAAACCTTGAACGAAAGAGCAAGATGTATGTGGATACACTTTGACTTGCCTAAAGTGTTTTCGATAGGTGCAATAAATACAGTAATCTTTCTCATAAATAAAGAACCATCAATTCCTTTAAACTGTTACCTACCTGAAAAGTATATTCTAAAAATGAGGTAAATCTTTTAACTTTGAAAGTTTTTTGTTGTCTCATGTTCAGACAGACTCTAACAGTAGAGATAAATTGCATCTTATGGCAAGAAAATGTTATTTTATCAACTATGAATCTAACATGTACGACTATAGGTTTAGTTTTGGAATGACCAAAGCAAGAAAATCATCAAAAGTAGAAATGTCACTTTTAATGAGAACATGTTCTCTAAGGACAGGTCTACAAAATTTACATGTGGAAGTAAATTGCTAGAACCTTCCAAAAGAGTTGGAAGAAATTTTAAAAGTGATATAGTCAACGGAAACTGGATACAGAGGTAGAATTTGAATTAGAACCATAACCAACATTTGAGTCAGAATTAAAACCAACAACAATGCCAGAAACCCTTATGATCCAACTGAGAAGATTTAGTAAAATATCAGCAACATTAGAAAGATATTCTCCTTCATTGCATTATTTGTCATTAATTAATGTCGGTAAGCCAAAATATTTTGCTGATGCCATATAGGGAAATGACGCTATCAAGTGGGATTCAACAATGAAAGAAAAGATGAGATTCCTTCAGAAGAATAGAACATAGTCATTAACCAAGTTATCAAAAGAAATGAAAGCTTTGCAAAACAAGTGGGTCTATAAGAATCTGACGACAACAGAAGATACAAGACGAGACTTGTAGAGAAAAAGTTTCAGTAGAAACAAGGAATTGACTTCATAGAGATATTCTCTCTTGTTGCCAAGAAGACTATTATTAGAGTCATCTTGAGCATTGGAATTGCAAAGAATCTTCAATTGGAGTCATTAGATACTAAAATTGCATTCTTACATGGAGATTAGGAGGAAGATATTTATATGACAACTAGAAGGTTTTGAAGTTCTAGGCAAAAAGAATCTTATATGCAAGCTTCACAAAATCTTGTATGGCTTGAAACAAGCAACAAGATAATAGTACAAGAAGTTTAATGAGTTTATGAGTAATTCTAAATTTCACAGATGTGACATGGATCATTGCTGCTATGTTAAAAAGTATGTTGATAGTTATGTTATCTTTACTTTATCTGTTGACAACATGTTGATTATAGGGTACAGTGACAGAAATCAATAGGTTGAAGAAGCAATTGGCAGAAAGTTTTGAAATGAAGGATCTTAGTCCAACCAAACAAATTCTCGGCATGAGAATCTTTAGAGATAGATCAAAAGATATTTTTAGATTATCTCTAAAGAAATATATAGCAAAACTGTTTGACAGGATTAATGTTGGAGATACCAAGACCATAAATACCCCTTTGAGAACTTACTTAGAGTTTTCAAAGAGGCATTCATCACAAACAGTTGAAGAAGAAAGTTACATGTCAAGAGCACCATATGCATGAGCAGTAGGAAGCCTAATATATGTTATGGTGTGTACTAGACCTGACATAGCACATGCAATGAGAGTTGTCAATAGGTTCTTATCAAATCCCGAAAAGAAGCATTAGAAAGGTATGAAGTGGATATTAAGATATCTCAATGGCACTTTGAAAATGTGATTTGTACTTCAGCAAAAACAATCCCACCTTACAGGAATGCTCTGATGCAGATTTGGGAGGAGATTTAGATGGCAAAGAAAACACTAGAGGTTATATTTTTACCTTGGGTGGCACTATTGTAAATTGGAAATCTAAATTTCAAAGTAGAATTGCTCTCTCAACCACTGAACCTATATATGTGGCTATCTCAGAAGCAGTCAAGGAGATACTATGACTAAAGAATTCTTTCAAAGAATTAGGAAAAGAACAAAATGATTCTCCATTATTTAGTGACAAACGAAGTGCTATATGTCTTGTCAAAAATTCAGTCTTTCATTTCAGATGCAAACATATTAATATGAAGTATCATTATATTAGAAACTTGATAAGTAATGGAGATTTGTCTTTATTAAAGATCTCAGAAACAAAAAATCCAGCTAATATGTTGACTAAACTGTCACAATTAATAAGTTGAGACTTTGCATTGCCTCAACTGGCCTTCAAGAATAATTGATGATGAAGGCACTATACTAGGTGAAGAATAGATAAGTTCATTGTTTACAATGAATTGTTGTAAATCAGACTCCAAGTGGGAGAATTGCTAGTATTATGTAGTCTAATCAAATCTCACATCGCTTAATCTTAAGCAACCTTTGTCTTATAGTTACTATATAAATAACACCTTGTAAGGCTTTTATATGCATAACAAAAAGATACTTCTCTTGTGCAGCCGTGGATGTAAGTACGTACATGTACTAAACCACAATAAATTCTTGTGTCGTTCTCTCTCCCTTGTTCTCTTCCTTTTATTTGCTCCCAACAGATATATCCTGTCAAATTTATTTCCCTGTTAAAGTAAGTGGATCCTTCTGCACCCAATGTCTAGAGCCGCTGGTTGTGACTATCTGTTGCAGCAGATTTTGATGTCCTAAAATTAAGGATCTGGGTTTGGTCTATCTTTGTATGGTAGGACTCACATCAAACTTTATCTATGTATCTTTAACCTTTAAAACTACCCACTGTTAGCAAAATTAATAAGGAATGTCTACATTAGGACGAATAAGAGTGTATGTAGGAAATCAGAGCTTTAAGCTGCATCAATAGAAATACAGAATAACGGTAGTAACTATTTAGGAAGTTACTGTACAAAGGTTGTTAGCGGAAGTAGTTGAAGGGTATCAATTCAATTGTTTTGAGAGATAAAGAAAGGAGAGGCCAGTCCCTTAAATTCCTGTGAGGGAGAGAAATTTTCTTTGTACTACTTAGGTATTACATTGACTATAAAGACTGCTCATTTGCGAAAAAAATTACTCATTAATCTCATGTTTGGGTCCAGATCTATACTCATCTTTGTGTTATGTTTGCTGTACCCTGTTTAGTGATATACAAATAGCTTGCTCCATAACACCACATGTGCAGTTATTGAGATCCTATCACTTTTAAATGCTGTATGTGGATGAATTATTTACCCTTTAAGCAACAAAGTGAATTTCTTTGTCTTATTTAAGGTATCCAGCAATTAACAAACCAGCTGCAGTCCTCCACTGGCTTAATCATGCAAATATTGATGCTGAATTCATCGTGATTCTAGATGCTGATATGATAATGAGAGGTCCAGTTACACCATGGGAATTCAAAGCTGCCCGCGGCAGACCAGTTTCAACTCCCTATGAGTAAGCCTGGTGAATTTGATTTATCTTTGTGAAACCTGTTAATGTATGTTGATGTAAATGTAATGTTTTGAAGGTTGCATGAATGCATACATCTATAAGCCGGCTTTGTCTTGCAGATGCAGTATGACGGTTGATTTCTTGATTATTTTTTATTCTTTTCATGCTAGCTACCTTATTGGCTGTGACAATGAGCTTGCAAAATTGCATACTAGCCATCCTGAGGCTTGTGACAAGGTTGGTGGTGTAATCATTATGCATATAGATGATCTGAAGAAATTTGCTTTACTTTGGCTGCATAAAACTGAGGAGGTTCGGGCTGATAGAGCTCATTATGCCAGAAATATAACAGGAGACATATATGAATCTGGTTGGATTAGCGAGATGTACGGCTACTCATTTGGTGCAGCAGAGGTATTATGTTTTTGAATTCTTAAAATTCATAATCTACATGCCTGTTCGTCTAAGCGCTAGCATGGGAGACACACACTGCAGCACAGAAAAATGCAATTTTTTCTATTGAAATTTTATAAAAGATAATTTGAACATGGTTGCCTTTCATGAGTGCTCATGTGATTATACGATGCATACATAACAATAGATTAATTGAGCTTCCAATTTCATCCCTATCTTGCTGTGCATTTATCTTTAACATGGTTAGTTACACACCACTCTGTGCATTCATCTCGTGCACATTTTCAAATCCTGCTTTTAATTATGGTAACCTGATATAACGTAATGCTGTGATGCAGTTGAAATTAAGGCATACTATAAACAGAGAGATAATGATATACCCAGGATATGTTCCTGAGGCAAGTGTCAAATATAAAATTTTTCACTACGGATTACAATTCAGTGTTGGGAATTGGAGTTTTGACAAGGCAGAGTGGCGAGAGGTTGACATGGTCAACAGATGCTGGGCCCAGTTTCCAGAACCACCAGACCCATCAACACTTGATCACGGTGACGAGGATAGTTTACAGCAAAACCTTCTCAGTATAGAATGTGTAAAGACACTGAATGATGCATTGCATCGGCATCATGAAAGAAGGAACTGCCCCAAAGCTGATTCCTTATCCACATCAAGAGAGGACACAAATCAGGAAAATGTGATCTCTAGGAAATTTGGCGATTTCAGTGGAAAATCTGATACAGAAGGCAATCATATGTCAGCAAATGATTCTGATTCTGAGGAAATGGCAAGTGTCCAAAAAGATGGGACAGGGATACCTAGTTCTTTCAGGTTCTGGGTGTTATTTTTATGTGCATTTTCTGGATTAGGTTTCTTGGTCGTCATCTTTGTGGTGCATTCAGGTTATAAAAGAAGAGGAACCAAAATAAAACACCATAGAAGCAAGAGAAGAAGCTTGTATCCAGGATAGATGACTTGCTTAGCCAAGTTTTCATAAATTGATAGATTATGATTTCATTCCCACATGAAAGACCAGAAGACCTCCTGTTTCAAAGTTTTGAGAGTGCTTGTACTATTTTGTACAACAAAACATTGAACGAGTGACTCAATTCTGCGTCTTCAAAGTTAATCTAGCTGGCGTTAAACTAGGATTATCCTACAGAGTAGGGGAGTGAAGTACTGTATAATCACATGGTTTTGTCACAGCAAAGGCATTTGACGAGATGTGCCAAATTCTTTTTGTTATCATTGTTGTTTGTTGTAACATTTTGTAATATCTTATCCCTCTCAACACTTATTGTAAAGGGCTCGTGCTAAAATGTTCTTCTACATCTGAATTGTGAACCAATTATTTTAGATCTATTATTACAACCATATGGAAGCATTCAATAAGGCTCACAGCTGTTTCTCCTTTCTAAGGCTTGTTGTGTCTATATCTGTGGGTTGGGTGGCATGTATCGGATCTGTACTTCCTAGGTTGCTAGTCTTTAGCAGCACAGGTTATCATTCACAAACCGACTTCATATCAAGACTCCCGCAAAATCAATAAAACTACGGAACATGTTATTTTGGAACAGTATCTTATCGAACCTTTTAAAATATATCTCTTATCTTAAATATAAAATACTTTTAACTACTTCTTATTAAGTAATTGACTTCATTAATAACATTAAATATATGAATAATTTGGATAATTTTTCTAAAATTGTCTTTAAATTTATTAGGACCCACTGCATTTTCCTCTTCCGATTTAAACAATTACTTTAGCACAACTAAAGGTATTTTTGTGAAAAAATAATTAATGTTAAAAGTAAATATAAGGTTTAAAAAATAATCATAAACAAATTCTTTATGTAGTCAATGAAGATTAAAAACTATGTAATAGAAGTAACAGAACTTTAAGATTTATTAAATGTCTCACTTAAATTTATCTAGAGTATCAAATTAGACTTAATTAGATGTACCGATTCGCCTAACCTATTAAAAATGTCAAGTCAGGCCGAATACTTTGAACTCATTGATCTGTCTAGCTCACCCTATTTAGTTTGTCTATATCCCATTGGACTCATTTTTAATTTTTAAAAATAAAAAAAAATTATTGATTAATTAAATATTAATTTTTTATTAATACAAAAATATTTTTAAAATATTTTTTGTAATTCTTTTTTACTTTTTTTAAATTTTAGGTGGATTAGCGCATTAACTCATTGGCCTATCAACTCTTTCTTTTCTTTTCTTTTTGTCTTTAGCGGGCTAGCCTGTTACCCCACCAGTCTACTTTTAAATGGGCTGAGCTAGAAAATCTAGTCTGTTTTCTAAATAAAATGAACTAGCCTATTTTTTGGACTGACACTCCTAGGTCTATCTTGGTGTGGCTTTTTTACTAGATTGTATAAAATTTTAAAATAATTGTCTAAAAGAGGTAAAACAAAAAGAAAAATACTAAAATAAGCCTTTAGAACAATTACCAGACTCTAAAATATAAAAGCAAATGGTGTCAACACTATCTTCCATCACTCACTTTTCTAATGTTTTGTAAAATAAAATAAAAAGGTGTTACACCTCTATGCACACCACGCGTCACACATGCATGTGTGGGCCTAGTCCAAAGGGTGTTATACAAAGCACAGAGACACATTTCATCCACATGATATTCTGTTGGGTGCCACACACATGGTTTTGACATGTGTCAAATCTTGTGTCGTCCAAATGCATTTTAAATATCTTATCTTTGTATCTAGAAAGAGAGATCTACATTAAAAAATTGTATTTCACTAAAGCAAAATATTACCTGTTTAAGAAAGAAAAAAAAGTTTGCTTAAGTCAACTAAGAGTAAATGAAGTGAATAAAAATTTGCTTAAATAAAATACATTTCACTTAAGCGAATAATGCAGAAAATGTGATTTTTACATAGAAACAGATAACATGCAAGATAACATATTCAATCAATTGAAATGTAAGGAAACAATTTGAAAAAATCGATAATAACTCCATTAGTGAAAGTACTATTTTGTAGATTTAATTTAAGTGTTCAAAATGAGAAAGCACAAGTGCAATCCATTACAAAATAACAAATATTTGAAATTTAAAACAAAAATGTAATTCATAAAACTAATTAAAAATAAATAATGTCTATAACATTGTTCAATATAAAATTCAGGTGTTTAAAGTGATCATGTCTAACACATACTCCTCGTCCTCTATAGGCTAAACTTGATCACTCTCATTATTTGCAGCATGATCCTCATCTTGTCTCCCTCCTTCTTCATCTTCTAATCCATCCCCTAGTTTATGACCATCACGGTCCTCCTAAGCTGCTCTAGTAAATGATTATGTGCATGTTCTTCATGAGTTAGGAAGGTAGGACTGTCTCCAGACCATGATACAACTATTTTAAAGTTTGTAGGTGTAGGCCATAGGAAAGCAAAAGTCTCACCACGATGTTGATGTAGTATGAACCCATGGGAAGGGAAGATGAATGATATAATAAGAATTTTAAATACTAATTAAAATGATAAATGATAAAAGAAAGATCGTTTGCTGCCATTTTTTGCTTGGTGCCAGTGAGATGGTGTATGATGCAAGAATCCATGTGTCATGTTATGTATGGATGTTAATGGTGGTGGTCATGATGGTCGTGCTCTAGGTGCTGCTCCAACAACAATTTGCTTTATTTTTGGCTTGTTGTATATCATAAAGGTTTGAAACTCCTCCTTTGATTGAATATATCATTACTACAATCAACCAAGAAAGATTATGAATAGTTATATTTGATCGTTCCTCAACTACTATATCTTTCTCTTGTAAAAAGTTTTAAACATTTAGCATACTTTGTTCCTATGCATTAAAAGTGTTTGAAACCAATGATATCAAGGTTGTCCTTGACAAATACATACTTCAGAGATGGATAACATAAGGTCATTGTGGAATTATTCATAGTGTAAAAGGAAAAAAGGTGAAGGAGGATCCTAAACTTAACTCATCGATACTGCCATCTAGCATGTAAAATGATTAGGTTGACTTATGAGGTATCTAGTTTACAAGAATATTGAGTTGGTAGATGAGTATTTAATACTTTAATCGGCCAAATCACAAAACTTCACTTACAAGCACAAACTAATGACATGAATAAAGACAATGTCCTAATTGTGGTCAATAATGATAGTACATAACCTAAGAGATTCAAGCAATGATAAAGTATCAAGAGAACTAGGTATAAACAATTGAAAAAGGTAGTAGGTTAAGCTACAAGAAAAAAAGAAAAAGAAAAAAAAAGGGTCCAATTTTAGGTCAATAGCATTCCAGATTTTTAATAGGAATAAATAGATGAATGTTAACATCCATAATATAACCATATATGTATTTTTACATGAATATGTTAAGGATATAAACCAATACTTTCTTATCAATTTGAATTACATTGCTGAGGACCTCCATATTATTATCTACTTCATACATGAGTAAATCAATTCAGTTTCTTAGAATTGTTGACAATAAGATTGCTCAACTTAACATTACATCATTTCATTTTAATTCCTTTGTTTTTCTTTCTATTTAATTTCACTAGTTTATCTTCTTATCTTGTAGGAACACCTGGGTGATATCCATAGTTCAATCCTTGATCAAAATTGATTGAACAACTATCAAAATTTATTTTGTTTCTTCATTAAATTTTTATTTATCAAGTCATTTTTTATGTATAATGTATATTGAAACACTATAGAATCCAATGTATTTGGTCCAATCTTGCATGTTGTTTGTGTTTGTATAATAATCACATTTTTTCCATTATTTGCTTAAGTAAAATATTATTTACTAAAGTGAATCTCTATTCGTTTCATTTACTCTTAGTTGATTTAAGCAAACTTTATTTTAGCTAAACATATAATATTTTGCTAAAGCGAAACATATTTTTTCAATCTAGAGCACTATGTCCTTTTTTTGCTTAAATTTAATAAATTTATTTAGATGCACTTAAGTCGTTATCTTTTCATTTAAGCACATTTGTTTTACTTAAACAATCAAAATTTATGGCATGCTAAGTTTCACTTAAGTTATTTTAAATAGCTTAAACAAATTTTTTTTTCAACTGAGTCTAAATTCGCTTTATATGAATTTAATCTAAAAGATCAATTTTATTTTTTTTTGCACCAAAACAAATCATCTGCCCCCTTATCATATTTTAAAAAGAAAGTTATTTAATATTTTATTTTAATTATGTTATTTTGTTAGTGAATTATTAGTTATGTGTTATTGAAGTTATTATCTTAGTAAAAAAAAATTTAAGAATAAAAAAATATAATACAATATTCACATTTTATTGTTAAAGTAAAATAATAAAATAGAATTGTTTAAATATTTTAACAAATATGTTCATATTAGTTCTAAAATATCATGTGTCGTACATGGGAATTTTAAAAGGAGTTTTGGATTCAACCAGCAACTCTTTGTGTGAAAATACTAAGCGAATTCAAGCTTCTTTTTTTTATATAAAATTTGAAGAAAAATATATGTTTATTATTTTTAAAAAGTTAAATAATTTTTAATATTTTATTTTAATATATAATACTATTGTTATGTGATATATGCTGTTATTTTAGTAAGAAAATATAAAACCTAATGCTTCGATGTTATTATAAAATAAAATGATTAAATAAAATTGTTTAAATAATTATTTTTTTGGTCCAAAATTTATTTTATAATAATTGTTATGTTAGTAAGACAAACTAAGAAATAATCTTGTTTCAGTAAAATTTGCTGTAATTATAAATTTAATTATATTTTCATGTATGTTTTAATATTATTAATTTAAATTTTATAAAACATAATATTTGCATGCTATTATTAAATAAAATGATAAAATATAATTGTTTAAACAATATTTTTAATAGTATTAAATTTTTGTTTATCAATTTAAATAATTACTTTTATTGAAAACGTGCTTATTTTAGTTATGTTTTTTGTAAAATAATTGTTATATTCGTAAGAAAAAAATAAGAAATATTCTTGTTTTACTAATATTTGCTGTGATTTTAAAGTTAATAATATTTTTTCATGTAAGTTTTAATATTAGTATTTTAAATTTCATAAAACATAAAATTTGCATGTTATTATAAAAAAAATTATATTTGTTTTACTAATATTTGCTTATAAAATTATTTAATTTAAAATTATGAATATTAAATATATAATAGAAATGACTTTCTCTTTGTTACTATCATGTATCTAAGTTTATAAAAATGTCATGTATCTAAGTTTATATAGTATAAATGAAATGGCATTGAGGATAAGATTCTAAAGTTGAGGGAAATATATCATCTACGATAAAATGAAAATAATTTCACATTTGTGATGGGCAAATTTTTCAAGCGTTGCTTAACAGGTTATTTTTTAAACTTAAACAAACTTATTTACTGTGTCAGTGGAGAGGTGAAAACTAGAGATACACACCTTTTACTTACATCTAAAAAAATGTACAATTACATTACAGTATGTTGCAATGCAAGTTGGTCTATATATTGATGGTTGACCAGTTATTAGAAGCACGTCATGTGAAATGTGGTCTTCACTTGGTGAATAGTTATTGGACATTTCGCCTCTAAAATAAGAATTGTATGGTAGGACAATGATGATGAGTTAGTTAGTGTGTAATTTTTATAATATAAATTATCACCTTTGTAGTGAAGAACAATTAGAAAGATTTACCCAAGCATAAATATTATAGAGCTTAATTGGAGGTGATATTTTCATTAATCACTCAACCATAGGGCATCGTTGAGATCTTCCTTTACTAGCTAATTTAGATTAATGTAGAAAATATAGTTGAGATTCTATTGTCCTAACAAATCAACAATTGTGCATAGCTACTAATTATCACCACAAGAACGTTTTGGGATTAACTCAATTGATTCAATTATAGGCATGTCATAGATTTCTATGCATTGCACCCACATATCCAAGGGTTATACAGTCAAGACAACCATTCAGTGGCAACTATGTTTATTAATGATAAGTTTGATATATGATTTATTTATAATATTTATTAATTGAATGTTGAATAATATTTTACATGGTTGAAAAGTCATTTTGTTTAAGGCAATGAGGCAAGATATGAAATTTTAGACATTTTTTTGAAAGAAAAAAAAAAGTTGAGGTAATGATTTTTCTTGAAGTTTATTACATAATAAATATTTTCAACATAATTACCAATTTGTTGATAACTTTTATAGATTGTACAGGAGTCGTACAACTCAAAGTGAAGCTAATCATACAATTTTTTATCCACATTCAGCCATAGGATGCATTTATTTAATTATTTATATTGACAATATTGTTATTACTAGAAGCTATCACCATGAAATTACACAATTGAATAATCATTCATGTCACAATTTTTAAATAAAAGATTTTGGTAGATTCCAATACTTCTTGAGAATAGAGGTAGCGCAATCCAAGAACAATAATACCTATGATCTTTCCTTTGTTTTGTGTGCCCCCTATCAAAATGTGATCTCTTCTCAATCTTAGAGAAAGTATGAATTGAATATCTTAAAAGAAATGAATTTGACATATGCCAAATTTGTAGATACTCTACTCTTATGAATCCTAATTCCAAACTTTTGCCAAGTCAGGAAGAACCTCATTCTCATCCAAAAAAGTACTAGAGATTGGTAACAAAATTGGTTGAAAAACTAAACTATCTCACTGTCACTCATTCAATATCTCTTTTGCTGTCACTCATTCAATATCTCTTTTGCTGTCAATATAATAAATCAATTCATTAACTCTCCTAGTAAAAGACATTATGATGCATTGTTTCATAAATTAAAATATATTAGAAGCCCTAGAAAAAAGTCTCTTGTATTAAGACAAGAGTCACGCTAAGTTTGCAAAGTAAAAATGATGCAGGTTATGCAAGATATTATGATGAGATATATTTCTAACTATTGCATTTTGATAGAAGATAATATGATTTTGTGGAAGAATTAGAAGCAAAATATGATTTCTCTTTCTAATGCAGAAGCAAATTATTGTATCATGACCATAACTATATGCAAACTTATGTGGATAAAGCAATTTCTTAAAGAATTAAAATTTAAAGTTATCTCATAAATAACACTTATTTATAATAACTAATCAACCTTACATTCTCTTTGAATCCTGTCTTCTCCATTAAAGAACAAAATACATTAATTGACATTTGTATTCACCAAGTGTATTAAGTACATGAAAGACAAGCTTTGTGTATATGATTTATAATGGTAACATTGAGAAGAAGTGTTAAATATGTGTAATGATGTTAATAGAGTACTATCTGTCAAATATTTGTATTATTGTACTCGCTTTTCTTAGTTGGTATTTGGGCATAATTGTAGCAAAACTAAGCATACATGATCATACCATATACGGTGACTTTTATATATACATTGCACGCATTTCTTAATAGATTATTATCTCTGGCCCTCTAAAATATTAGACTTTTGAAAAGTTTATAATATTTTTCATAAGATTTTTTATAAGTTATTCCTTGTATTAATTAATTATTTTATAAAAATATCTTAAGATAAAATAATAATTATGTCTCAACAATTTTAATGAGAATTTTTTCCATTCAAAGTTAGAAAGTGTTTCTAGAACTCCTCTTTGAGGAAGTGGAGTTCATTTCAAAAGTTAAACGTTTCTTCAAAACTTTCGATATTAAAAAGCTTCATGTGTTACGTACGTCCATTCCAATATCCACTCTAGGTATAATCTAAACCCTAAATATGAAAGCATATGCTAAACCACGAATTTTATTCTCTCTTTTGTCCACACAGCTCCAAGGAATTAAACCTCTAGCAATCAGGATGGCTGAGAAACAGAAGCATGAAAAGATTAATAAGGATGATAACATTGGGATCAAGAAATGACGAGGCAAGCCTCCAGCATCGCTTCTCAATGTTAAAGAAAGAAGACTCCGTCATGATACATCCACACTGCAAAAGATATCAGCATCATTTGAATCTGTCCATTATATAAAAGAGCAACAGCCTATCCCTAAATCATGATAACAGTACACCTGTAGAGTAGAAAAATGGGCAAACCTAAGAATTTTGGATGAAAATCCGAAGTAAGAATTACAATCTTCTCAATTTAGCTGTTGAACCAAAATATTAAATGACCAATCTGCTGATTCCAGCTTCAAAGCCTCAATGGTAGCACCAAAACAAAACGGATCTTCGGGGCAAAATTTCACTTTCTACCCGTTGTTCCAGCTCTTGGCTTACCTTTAACCTCAGTCTCCTGCTCAGATGAGGAAAACGGTTACTAAACACTTGTTGAATGGGAAAAATACAAGGCGAACCTAGTCAATCCTGAGCGTGTGTGTGAGAAGAGATTAAATTATATCCATGTAAGTTACACCATTATTAACTTCATACAAAATGTGAGTTTTGTCAATCCAACCATTAATTTACAAGTCAAAATTGAAGAACTATAAAAATGTAGTCAAAAGATCCTTAATTTCATATATTTCAAAAGTATATATTACATTAATTTTCATGTTTGAATGACGTCAAATAATTTTGAATTGATACAAAATTTTGCAGACAATCTATATATAGAAGCTTTTAATCCAACAACTGATTTCAAAATAAGATTATCCAATAAAAAATCATTTGACGATGTAATTACTGGTGCAACTTGCACCAATGTAATCTGATCATTTTCCTATATACATATATACATCAAATAAAAGTAAATTATTGTTCCCATTCTGTAGCATTCTTTTACATTCATTCAATCTCATCCTTCCAATGAGTTATGTTCATAGAAAAATTATTCAACAATATTAACAAGCATGTATGTACAAGCATACCTGTGGTAGGTGCAAAAAGATGTAGCTCTTTGCTGTAGTTGGATTGTGATTTTCTGCACCCTTGCTCCAATCATAACAGACCTACAGACATGCATAAGGTTTCAGAATCAAATAACTGGTAATTAAATGGAAGGGTTGCATTTGCATCAACATCTCCATATAAAATAAATGCCAAGTTTGTACATATTTTTGAAGCATGGTAATTTAGAATATAAAATGCACAAAACTGACAATTTAACCCCAACCATATCATATGAGGGGCAGATGGGATTCAGGCAATTCATCTCATACTATTTTAAATACTCATGCATTGTATGCTAACCTTAGAGAGGGAGGAGGGGGAACAGAATGCATTCTCAACAATGTCTTTAAATTCATAAATTTAGCATTTTCAATACAAGTCAATATCACATCCTTCTACCACAATCAATTTTAGTAGCATATGTAAACCTCTTGGCTTGAGAAAAAAAAAAAAAATACGATATGAATTATCAGTATTGAAAATTCAACTTATCAAATATCAATTTAAATTCCAGGATGATAGGAATTGTGCCCCGCTCTCTAGATGGGGAAAGGTCTACCAGCGTAGATCAAAGACTATTGGGCCTTAATGTGTGAGAGGGGAATTATTTTGTAATAGAATAAAGAGTTAGGGGGAGATGGGGAAATTTGTGATTAGTTAGAGCTAATTCTGTTATATTGAGTGCTGCTTTATGGAGTGGGGTATCTGGTGATTGGAACTGATATTTGGGGCAGAGAGATTCTCTCTTGCTAGGGGAGCATTGCTCTCAGAATCCTTCACTCTATCTCTTTCTATTTTCTCTTTCTATGTTCTGCAGGCCTCTCTGATACTATACGTATCACAGGACCTAAGCTTTATTTTATTTTATTTAAGGTGGGCAGGGGGAGGGGGAGGGCAATTAGACCCTAATTATTAGAATACGCTACTTTGAGCAGAGTAATTTGTCAAACTAGGTAGACTCATTTAAGAATGCCAGCACCTATCTTATCCAGTTACAAAAGTCAAACCTAAGACGTTAAGGAGAACCAAATTTCATGCCACTAGGACTACAGTAGGCATTGGTCAAATTGACAAGGACCAACAAGCATATTTAAGTTGCTTTCTAGGGAACATCATTAACTAACTACGAAGATAATTAGCAGTGTATACAACATCACCAACAAAGCCTTATCCCATTATTACATGAAGATAATTAGCATATGTTTTTACAAAAAAAGAGATCCACACTGACATGGTTAAGTCAAGATTTTGAAAATAATTAGATTATTCATTTTATAAGTAACTAGAAACAAAGCCCATACAAATTATTTCTTTCCCGAAGAATGCTAGCAACACACTGCTTTTAAATTGTTCGATGATGTTGAGCCCACTAAATCATGTAGGTACTACTCCTTATCTAGTGGGGGAAGCATAAAATTCACCCAAAAATAGCGTATTTAAAAAATGTATTGCTAGCATTTCTCTTTCTATACTTGGTAAGTATGTAAATTCTGAAAAGTATCATCAAAGCTTCCCCCAATAAAATAATATTCAACATCAGAAACAGCTAAGTTGGAAACCGAAGTACATGTTTGTATTTTAAATATTTACCATGCATTGGTGTAATGTGATGCAGAGAGAGAGAGGGAGAGAAGAGGTACTTCAGTTAGGAGGTAAAAAACGTAGGTTTCCTAACCTATGAAAGAATGGAATATGAAATGGTGAAGAAAAAATATATGTAACTCCGTAAGTAAATAACTATGACTTGTCAAAACATCATTGACCATACCGCGTATGCAAATATTGAACCATCATTATTGAATGTACTGCAAGGTATGGGCTGACTACACCTTTGCATAACCTGCAAACACATTAATTTCTTATAAGTAAATGGCAATAACAACAAAATTTCAAAAAGATTGAAGGTAGATAGAAGACAATATATTACTTTCAAGACCTTCATACATGATCAACACAGTAATCAGGTCTTTAAGAACCCAAAAAGAAACACAAACATCCAAATCTGATATTGAAAGGGATTCATCCTTCCATTTCCCTATAAGTGATGATAGGACAATTGGAGACCAAGGGCCCCAAAAGGCCCACGCCGCCCCCCCCCCCCCCCCCCCTCTCCAAAAAGATAGTACCCAAGAAAGGAGAGTAACAACAATGATAGCTAGTTGGCAGGCTGGGTGTTCAGCCATACATACTGTTTCCTTATAAGGGCTAGAGTAGTCCCCATCCTATAAGCTAGCTTTTGGAAGTGAGTTATGCCCAAATTTCTTAACATAGTATCAAAAGCCTATCCAGTTTGAATGTTGGGCTGCCCACAAATGTCTAGTCCTGTTGGGTCACCCGTGCAGATGTCCAGTCCTACAAATTTCACACAAGGGCGTGAGAGGTGTGTGTTTCCTTATAAGGGCTAGGATAGTCCTCCTATGAACTAGCTTTTGGAAGTGAATTAGGCTTAAGTTTTTTAACACATACAAACAGATCCTACTATGAAACAAGTAAAAAATAATACAAAAGTATGTTTTGGACATTTCAGAGATCAGTTTCAACAAACAAGGAAGAGTGAGAAAGAGAGTTTTAGAGAAAAGGGGAAACCTTGAGTCTCTGTTTACTGTCCTTATCCCAGAAATTGAAAGCACCATCAGATCCAGCAGTTGCAAAAGTATGATGTATCTGAATGCAAAGACATCAAATAAGAACTTACATAAAAGAATATTAAATCCACATGTTCGAAAATTAAATTTACCAAATTTTAATATCATATGGTGTATTACCGGATGGAAATTTAAGGAGTTGACTGAATATATCTCATTGTTCTCTCTGTGGCATTTAAAAGTAAAATTCTTGCTTTGTTGTGCATCATCCAGGTGATGTACTCCAACCCTCCCTTCTATTGAGCCAACCTACATAGAAATTATCAGAGCCCAGAAATAATGTTCAGTGAATATAGTTAAAAAATACATAAGTGACACAAGAAATATAGATATAAATTGATAGAATAAATCATATATATATATATATATATATATATACACAGAATAAAATAATAAAAATAGAATAATAAATAAATAATCAAATTTAATTCAATATAAATAATGGTAGTTAAATTTGCAATTTTACACATAAGATCATATGATTTTACATCTTTCTCATGCCTCAGCAATCCTGATCACACTCTCTGACTCTTTTTTTAGGATAATAAGATCTTACTAGTAAAATTGTAGGATCAAACAATTTTTCCCTTCTTGTTTGAACTCATTTCTTTTGAAAAAAGCCAACAAATTTGACCCATTAGATTAAAGACTTTTAACCCCATTCATTTTGGCGCTTTTCTTCACCTTTTTTTTTTTGCTTTATGCACACAAAAGTTCCAATCGCCTCCTTGGTTTTTCAACTTCTGGGTTTGGCACTATTCACTTCAGTTCTTTCTGAGTTGGACACTTGGTTCATTTTCTTGTGGGTTCAACTACTACTTGATTTGGTTCAGTTGCTACTCTATTTGGTACCCTGGATTCAAGTTTCTGATATCTGCTAGGTTACACTCTTTTAATCTCTTTAGTTAACAGAAGTCTTTTCAGTGGGAAAGAGTTGTTACTTGTTAGAAAGGGTAATGGGAGTTCAGGTGGTGCTAGAGTTGGAGGTTCTGAATTTGGAATGGTTTTTACTTATAAGTTTGTGGCTGTTAGTAATTTAAGGCTATTTTGTCTTATTTTTATTAATTGTTATGCATATATATAAATTCAAAATCATTTTATATTTTAAGTAGGATATTACGATCCGCATTATGATTACAAGATTTACATGTTTCCTTAACTTTTCTGATCCTAGGTAGGATCTTGATTTTGACAACCTTGATATAAATAAATAATACAAAATAAAGAAAAAATTGAATAATTAACAAACTAACTAATAAATTTAGATTCATTTTAATACATATAAAAAGATAGATTTGAATAGAATAAATAGAGATAGGATATAAGCTGATTAAGTTGAAAGAAAAGATAAAATTGATGATGTTTGAGTTTGTAATGGCATGTTGAAGATCAAGAGAACAAAAACTGTCGAAAAGTGAGAAAGATAAGACAAGTTAAGAGAAAATTTAGAGCGCTAAATGTTCTGATTTCTAAGATACAAAATTGAACCATAGTCTGAATTCCGAATACATGGGAACCTTGTAGGAGAGACTGTTGGAACTATATCAGATCAGTTGTAACAACTAACAAATACTGTTATAACAAGGTTGCAACAGAAACAGACTAAGCAGTTAGGGGACCTGTTAGTTAAACTAACAAATTAACATGTTCTACCAGCACAGCATGTCAAAGTCAAGACAGTTGACCCCTAAGACAGAATGTCATAAAATATTGATGTATAAAAAATCATTATTATTTACATGAAAGTTATATTATTATTTGATGAGTTTGTTGAATATTTCAGTTTAAACATGTATCTAAGTAAACTCAAGGCATCAACTACTTAAAGATAGTTTGCACTTATGAAACAACAGTATATGCAAGAAAATCAGCAAAAAGCCCCTACTGTGGATGGTCTGCACAAAATCAGCTAAAAGCAACCGTTGACCAAAGAAATGGAACTTTATCTCAAAAATTACAAAACCATACTTCTTTGATAAAGACAAAAGTACATTATCACATATTTTACACCAAGCACATTCTTGACAAAGCAATAGAAAAGGAAGAATTCAAAAAAATACTTTTGTTGAAGTGGAAGGAGTGAAAGACTCTGGGTATATGTTATATCAAACGGACGCATGATTGTCTCTAACATACACAAATGCATTATACTCTATAAAGAGACATGTAACGATGCAAAAAGCACAAGAACAAACACAACAATAAGATAAGCTACCAGAAACATTTTCATTTATCCTTATAGCTCATAGCTTATATTCTCTCCGGACTCGAATATAAGCAAATTTAAACTCGTGTGATTGTCAAAAATATAAGCAAATATTAATTAATTCCACCCTATTTAATGAAATCATCCCCAAAATACCCTTTATTTAATTCAAATTTTATTTCCAATGACTCCTTTTATTCTTGTGAGACTTTCAAAAAAGAGAAATAGTATTCCCATTTGTAACAAGTTCCATGAAGGGCAATTTAGAGAATGAAGTTATTTTTTAAACGAGATTAAGAAAACTAAATGAGGTTAACTACTATTCTTAATTAGGGTGAATTAGTTATTTTTTGCTTATATTCGAATCCGGAGGGAGTATCTCTCTAGCTTTCCTGTGTATCATAAGAGCTTTATCTTTTATCTTAAAATTTACTGAGTGAGGCTTAAAGCTGTTGTAAAAATACTTGAATAAGAAAGTCCAGGGAGGCAGTTTTTAAACGAAGACTTGGATTCAAGCACAGAGCAACCTGTTAAAAAATACTTAGATAGTGACACACTTTTGGTGTAGAAAGCATTTCATAGGAAATTAAAAATTGATATGTTGTCAAGGACAGGACGTAGTTCTATAATTGTGGGATGAACCAATATAAATCTTGATGTTCTTGCTTTTACAACTTTCCTTCTAGTATCTTAACTAGCTGGAAAGGATTCTAAAATTAAAAACTTCTCAAAACAAACTTTGATTGAATCATTTGTTGTTTGATAACCGATGGTTATTGAACAAAGAAACTTTTATAAACCTATATTTCAAAAGGTAAAAAACTCGATTCAACATCCCCTTTCTCTTGTTTTCTAATCTCACTTTCACAGCACACTAACCACCACAATACAACACTATGGCATACAATATAAGATTCCAATTACAAGGTAAGTGACTTGAGTCTCATGATTCATATCAGAAGTATGAGATTCTGATGTGAGATTTATAAGACTTTGGGTTCTCCAACTTCAATGACTAGTTTTTATAGTATAGTTCTTACAACGTAATATCCCAATAATTAAGGCCCCAATATAGTAATCTAACAGGTTCAGTTAAAAATCCTTCTGGCAAATGATACATACATAACCGAGTTGTCTAAATTCCCATTGGATGTGCAAAAGTTAGAGCATCCTTGAGCCATAGAGGATCTTCACAACATGGTCATGTAAGGCTCAAATGAAACAATCACCCCAAATCAAATGCAGAATCACCCAACGTCAAAGTAGTAATGAAATTAAATAAAACAAAAAAGGCAATAATTAAGACCTCTACCACTGTATTTGATTATATGTGAGAGGTGAGTTCATACCAAAAAACCTTGCTGATCAGGAAAAGCAGCAACACATCTTGTCTGATATTTCAAGGGAGATACAATTCTTTTGTACTCGGTCTGTTGGGAATTCAACACAAATTTAGAAGAAAAACAAATAATATCGACATTCATTGAAATCAAAATGCTCCTCAAATGTTAATATGAAATCAGCACTTCTTAATTTCACCTCGTCAAAATCATAGAAAATCATAAATAGCAGAATAGGTGAAATACTTAAACATAAACAAATCATGTGAGCCTGACCAGTAAGCTTGGATAAGGAACTATAAACAGTTGTTAACAGAATATGTCACCATAAAAGCAAAAAAATAGTTAAACAAGGGCATTCATATTTCATATTCAGTTTGGCTTGTTGTATGTTCCATTTCATTTTATATCTTCCCCATTCTTGCAGCTATGTGATAAGTTCAATATTTTCCCTTATTTACTTAATCCTTAAAGAGAGAAGATAAGATGTACTCCCCATGGTGGAACAATAAATTTGTTATAGTATTTTTTTAATCAAAGTAAAAGATAAAACACAGACATCAATGTTACAGAGCAATGAGTTTAATTTAACATGATGCATTCCTGGTACTGAACAAATAAACTAATCTTAGGGTTTGTCTCAAGGTGTGATACTACTGAGTAAAGTTCAGTGAAAGAAACTGATCAGAATATGAATGAAAAAGTGTATCATTATTGAAGAACTATAATCCTGATCTTGTCACAATGAGGTGCAACACCAAGAATAGGAAGAATGCCCAGAAAGTAAATTAATTCCCTGAATATTCTAGAGATCTATGCATCTCCCAAGTCCCTATTACACTTCTGAATTTTCAAATTTCCCCTCTCTGGCTTCCCTCTCCTATTTATACTAACTAATAACAGATTCTATTATTTTTTTACTGGTTTCCCTCCCCCTAATTAATAAAAGATTCCATTACAACATATTAAGACCTTTGTTATGCTAATCCTACTTCTCTTACTGTAGACTCTAGTTATTGGAGGATTCCTATCATTCAAATGATTTGGACCTAGTTCCTCTAAAAAACATTGTACACTTTAGAACGGCTGGTGGTAATTGTCAATCGTGAATTTAGGCTTAGGCCTAACTCAACCCAAAAGCTAACCCATAACATGAGGATTATCTTATCCTTTATAAATTCTACTTTAGTCACATTTGTAGTCAATATAAGATTTCAATACATCTCACGTCCAGGATCAAACATCTGGAATGTGAAAATTGTACGTCTGATTTTTTATATACAACGAACTGAGAGAGTTGCAGAACCAAGTAGATTGCACTGAAAGCCGTGAGTCAAGTTAACTGCACTGAAAAAAATCTGGGGGAGGGGGGGTCGTCCAAGTTGTTCTTTTTTATAGTCAAGGGTGGCTCAACATTGGATCTTTAATAGACTCTGACATTATGTTGAATTTAGGCTTGAACCTAAACCCCAAAATCTAACTTGTAAGATAAGAATTGCCTTGACTTTGATTAACTCCACTTCAGTCCTATCTGTAATGAACGTGGGATCTCAACAATTGAAAAATCAAGAGACTGTAATAACTAACAAAATCATTGTTTGTTATAAGAGTTTTTGTATTATACATAAATATAAACTGCTGATAACATTTGCATGGAGCAAAAATAGACAATCCACATTTCACTTGATGTAGCAAAATCATACTCAAATTAGATACTGCTGAATGAATCTTGTAGAAATTTCATCTCCATGCAACAACTACAGTAGGAAAAATTATTTTAGTACATGTTTGATTCAGCTTATTTTTGAGAAATAATCACTTATTTTGTTCAGCTTACAAAGAGAGATTTTGAAAAACAAATGATTATTTCCCTAGAATTAAGCTGAACCAGACATGCTATCAGAAAAATAAAATATCACCTGAGGGTTTTGCAAGTTGAAGACAACCAGATTCCTATCTGCAGTTCCCACAACCATCAGAGGATGTTTCACTGTCATGGCATAACAGCGATCAGGAAGTTGTTGAGTATGCACAGGATTTGACTGCCTGGTGTCCCAATACCTAAAATATAGAAATTAAAGCATAAATGATTACATAAAGTAGTTAAGACTTCAATGCAACCCATCACACAGATGACAAAATAGGAATTAGAATAGAAAATGCTTTTTTATTACCAAAATTTTAAAATTTTTTATAGCAGTTGCCAATGTTTCTGAGAGATAAAATCATAAACTTCTTATAGATAAAAAACAAAAAGAAGGAAAATAACTCATTTCACTTGTGAAAGCTTAAATTTAAGAACCAGATATTAGGTGAAGAAACATACATGGTTTTATTAAATCTTTACACACTAGCCATTTAGCAATTCATGAAAGGACAGAAACAAAGTAGAATAAACTATTGCAAATGAAGCAACCTATTCAAAGCTCTACGTTTTTAAATAGAAAATTATAAGTGCAGTTCCATTTTTATGCTTCCTAACAATCAATATTGATTGTGTTAAATAGTTTAAATAGTAGTTATTGTGTTAGGTCTGTTATGATTAGGATTGCTATCATATCGTTTTGTTGCTGTTAGGGGATTATTTTAGGGATTGCTATCCTAAATCCCCTTCTCACATGAATCATTTCCCTAAAATGCTAGCCACCTGCTACCTCAGCTAACTCTAAATCAATACAGGGCACTCTTATTGTGTGTGTGTGTTTTCAGCTTATTTTGTAAAATTAGCCAATTTCAACATCGTAAGAGAGCTTTTTGAGAAAGCTTAATATAAAAATGCTATTAATTCTCTAAACTAACTCACTCCCATACAAGCCATCCTTCAAGCCATATTGTGGATCCTTTCAGTTTCTGGTCCTCTTCTTTACTATACCAGCTTCAATCAGGCCCTAACTCATAAGCTAGAAAAGACACCAGCAAATGCAATTCCTACTTTGAATTCACAATGTTACCAGTACCACAACATGACTGAACATAGAAAAAGAATCAAGACACGTACTTCAGGGTCTTGTCCCAGCTTCCTGTGGCTAAAAGACTCATCTCTGGTATCCAGGCAATATCTTTTATGGGAGCATCATGCATGGCAACAGTCACCGGTTGTCCACCAGACAAAAGAGGCCACATCTTGACCTGCTTGTCACAGCCTCCAGAAAAAACCGTCGTTCCATCATCCTTCCAAGCTGAGCACAAAACCTTCAATAAAACAAACTAGACATCAAAAAACTGAAAAAAGTGCAACCAATGCACTTGAATCACAAAGAATAACAACATAATAACAATAACCAGAAGAACAAAAAATAGGTGCAATACCATAGATACTTTTGAAACTATTCTCCAATTAAAATTGGAGTTCCACTTCAATAATTCACGCAATAAAGGTCAGCATTAAAGGTTAGCACAATTTACTGAACTGAAACTCCAATTTTAATTGGTAAACAGCACCAAAAACCCCTATGGTCCTGCACCTAAATTTTGTCATACCCATAATCTTTTTTTTTTTCTCTTAATAAAATGTTTTGGAATTTAAATTCATTACTGGCTGGTCATGAGAAATTGAAGCCTTGGGAGTACTGTTGACAACAGTCCCATTCCTCGTTATCTCCCAGCACCGAACCTGTTGTACAAATTGTCAACCAAACACGCAGAAAAAGAAAAAGTAATAAATGAAATGCAATACAAAAACGTAAGAAATGTGAAACCTGGTTGTCCCATGAAGTAGCAACGAGGAAATTGGCCTTGGGACTGAAAGAAAGGCTCGAAACAGAATCAGCGGGTGGTTGAGCTACCTGAAAATTGGAGCGTTAAGGCGAGGAGTAGTTGATAATGAACCAAGTATGCCACGCGTTCGGCATTCAGGAATGGGAGCGTTACCTCATGGGATTTGTTTGGGTTCGTATTTGCGGCACCAAAAGTGGACATTACGATCAAAAGATAACAGATGAGAGATAGAGAGAGGTTTGGACTTAACAAAAGGATGGTGCGGTCACATAAGCTTTAAACACAGATCTGGCGTCGAAGGCGCAAGCTCACCTGCCCAGGAACTTGAAGAGAGGGTAAGGATGCTCACTTGACCGTTTAGGAGAGTTAGGGTTTTTTACATTTTCTTAATTTTTTTAAAAGTTTGATTACAGTTGACAATTTTATGTTGAAAAGAATATGTGAATATTTAATTTTATCCTAAAACTCTTTAATTTTATTTTTATGTTTTTTATCTACTTAAAGCAATATATTCGAGTTAGATATAACTATTTTTTATGCTATTGAATTTGATTTAATTAATTAATTTGTTTTAAAAATTAGCCTGTCTTTTAATAACATTTAAAATAAACTGTGACGTCTCTTGCAAAAAAGTAAAAAAAGAAAATATATAAGATGCGATAAAATGATTATTAATATATAAAGCCTCCAACTTCAATAACATACTTGTGTGATGGGGGTAGAATATAGACCCCTTATCACTCAAAGAGTGTGTAAATTTAAGTTCCCACATTATTGTAGGGTAGGCCTTGGAGCCCTCGTCTGCATGTACATGGAAGTGCGATGATGAGCAGCTTTGGTCGAGGGCCTGCAGGCAGCAGAAGACCCCGCCGAGTAAGGCTTAGGGACCACTCATATTGGAAAAGGCAGGTCGAACAGCACTAGTTCCAGCTCAACCCGGACAAAGGAAAAGGTTTCAGAAGTCTAACATCCTAACTTTTCTTTAATCTTTATTTATTAATTTTTCTTAAATTAGAAATAGGAAATAGATAAGAATTTAAAATTTTGAACATAATTAACGAAATTGATTCAAAATCAAGTCTAATTAAAGAAAGATTGTAAAATGCATGCATAGTATAATTTAGTTAGAAGTAGAAATTATTTTTTTTCAAAATCACCTTACTTGATTTTTAATTATGTAAAATAAGGTATACTAAAAGTATATTTAGTTGTGAGAAAATAAAAATATGAATTTAAATACAAGTCACAAAATTAACTAAAAAAAGGAAAATAGTTCAAAATTGGCCTAAAGTGTAGTCCCATTTCATTACTAGAAAAAAAAATTCATAATTTTTATTACATTTAATTTAGTGAAAGAACATGTTGAATGTGCAAGAGGGAGTCCAAAAATTCGAAGGAAAAATTCACCATAAATATTACAGAAGTAGCCACCAAATGACGTGAATTTGGTCCAATTTGAAAACAAAATTGTCAACAATTCAAGGCTTTAAATTCCAATCCATTTGCATGGCTAAATCACTTGAAAGAGAAGTTAAGTGCATATAATTGGAGCATGAGCTCAGTTGAAATGTAAGCCAACGAGAGAAGAGCTTCAGTCAACCAAAATTCGAAGCTATGATGCAAGGATGTGGACTTAAGTCGTTGTATTATCACTTGCTAACTTATCTAGTTAAACCAAAACTAAAACTTTTCCATTTTAGCCAATAATTAGAGCCATTATAAGTGAGAGAATCAAACTCAATTAATTAAAGAGTTAAGAACAAACTAAAGCAAGTACAAAATCCTAACAACATGACATCATGGTTGAAAAATTTCTACGCATGATTAAGACTTTGAGGAAAATTATTTCACGGGGAAGAAGAACTCAAGGGGACAACTTACAAAGCAAAAACAATGGCATGAACTCTAGTATATAGTCGTAAGCCATTTAGGGAGAATTAGCCAAAAAAATGCATGCAAAAGGAGAGAACACTTTCACTTTAATATAAGGGTACTATGAGGTAACTTGACTTATACTTCCAAATTCAGCAAAATTCAACTTCCATTCTCACTAGAAAACAACTATCAATAAATTAACCCTACACAATCAGCCCATGTCATATTCTACCACCAAATCCATGAAAAACTCAATAAAAAAAAAGACAATCACTAAACCACCTCACCAAAAATCAAGTAGAAAATATAATATTTTAGAAAACCATTTTGCATTTAGAGAAGCTGACCAGGAAAGAGGAAATTTACAGAAAGGCCAAAGAGTATAAAATAAGTCATTAAGGGCATGAGAAGGATCATCCACTTAAGTGTACAACAAGAAAAACAAGTCAAATCAAATAAGAGGCGAGAGTATTGATTCACAATTTTGGTGTTTTTTTTATATGTAAATACTTCTACTTGCTATGTTAAGGGCATGATATAAGTTCAAAACCTTTGTTTAATATATTTATGGTGTAAATACATTGAACACTAATGTAAATCTTGTTATTTGATTTTCATATGCCTTTGGTTATGCATAAAAAAGGAAATTTTATAGAATTTTATGAAAGTTTATAGTTTCTTTTGAGTATATGACTGTTTTTGTTGCTATTTTTATTCTTAATATTTTACTAAAATTACAAAAATTTACTGTTGGACTAGGACACATAATTTTACATCTTTGGACTTGGTTTAAATATTTTGAAATTAAATGGTATTTTAAGTGATTTTTTGGTAAATTTAGAATAAGTTATTAAGTGAAAATAAACTTAAAATGGTAAGGGGCCATGTAAATAAACTTTTAAACCCTAGACTAATTATTATATCATAAACAGTGACTAACACATGAGATATCAAAGGAAACTCGACTAAATTTGAAAGATTAAACCTATAAATAATGGAAGAACCATGATTTTGACTTTAAATTGACTCTAAATATGCATGATATTTGAAATGTGTTATTAGGGGACCACATAGTTATATTTGTTAATGTTTAAGGTTTGAGAATACTTTAGAATTTTGCTAGAAACATACAACATAGCAGAGGTTGACAAACTTTTAATAAAAAGGATTTTTTGTAATAAATAAAGTTTAGAGACTAAATGTAAATTCTGTAAATTTCAAGAATTGCAAGAAATACATTACATAAGTATTTTATTTAAATAGAGGACTATTTTAGGAGTAATTAATCACTGGTTTGGTTGAAATTGGATTTAAAATGAATTAATTATGAAATACCTACTAAATTGATGTTGAAAAATGAAAATTATGACCAACAAAGAAAAATTGTAACTCGTATTAAATTATGTGAGCATCTGGGTTATGATTATTGTCACAAGCTTAGAGAGCATTAACTAGCAAGTGTACTAGTGTAGTTATAGCAAGTTATAAAATTTAGAATTCGTTTGAGTTACAAATATTGTCCTTAGGAATTAGTTCTTTCAATTACCACTTCATAAATTAATAACTATTTGAGTTAAACAAAATTTGAGAATTTTGATGCATTTTAAGAATTAAAGTAATAAAACGCAGAAAATTAGAATGTAACAATAAAACAGAGTGTAGAGATTGAAAATGAGATGATATGTAAATGGAGTTAGGACTGATTTCACCTATTTAGCAATTGTAAAACTGAAGTAAATCTGAACTATAAGTTCCTTAATTGATTGATAATCAATTTCACTAAATTAATCAAAGTTCAATTCCTTGATTCAATGATCCTAATATTCAATTAACTACTCTAATTTTTTAGGCGTAAACCAATTAAAAATTGCATTAAGCATGAAAAATTAAGAGATCACAAGATTATGAATACTTATCCCTAAGATATCAATAACCTAGACATTTAATTCAGGTTTAAGAAATTAACTCGACTTCTATTGATAAAAATCCTTTAGGTTCAATTCAATTGAATAGCTAATCCAAGAATTGTATTAAGAATAGAATTAAATATTCAACACAATCAAAGTCTTAAAATTCATATTCATAATCAATTTATAATATCAAAATTGAATCCATTAATCCTTAACCAAAAAGAAATCAGAACATGTTCTTAAAAGAAAAGAGAGAAAGAAAGAGTACAAGAGGAGCTGCACAATTTCTTCATAATTTCAATCCCTAGTTTGATTCTTTAAAGTTCAGAGCTTGGAAGTCACATCCATTCTTCCTCTCTAACTCTCCTAAGGTGTAGAAATGAAAAAATAACAAAAGATCCAAAAAAAAATTGAGCTTTTGGCTTTTTATAAAATTTTCACACTTCTAACATGGTTACTATCTATGCAGAAAGTAACCACGCACGCAGGGTATTTTTCCTAATAGCACTCTGTATAATCACTTTATGTGAAAATAATAGTCATGTGCATAATCACTTTATATGTAAATAGTAGCCATGCCCAACTTCATCCCTTTAAAGATACTTAGGCGTGGTTACTATATGTGCATAAAGTAACCATGTGCATTCTTGCTCCTGAACTACAGAGCTAGACCACTTTTTACAAAAATAGTGAACACACACGTTCTTCCTCTTAGACAAAGGCTCTGTAATGATCACTTCATACAGAAATAGTGAACATTTTCATTCTTGCTTTTCGACAAAGTCTATGTAGTGTTCACTTTATACAGAAATAGTGAACACTTTCATCATTCTATACTAGATTAACCTCAAATTTGTCACTTTATGTGTCAATAGTGATTACACCTAGCATCCAACTTTGGATTCTTCACTCTTTATGTTCAGATTTGCTATTTTCTTCTATTTTCTCTTCTTGAATCCTTATCCTCTAGACTTTTAACTTAGAATCTCCTCCAAAACTAGTTCAATCCAAAAATTACATCAAAATTTTATTAAATTCATATAATTTGAGTTACTAAAGATAAAAATTGACTTTATTGAACAATTATATATTTTTGTGCAATTTTCACCTAGTAAAATCTGGATTTATCAATTCTAGTTCTGTATCAAAATAGATACTTAAAGGGAAGTAATCTTACTAGTTTCATAAGTTTTTAATTTGAAATGAATCATGTATAAATTTTTTAATAAACCAATGTGGAAAAATAAATTTTCTTGACTTGTAGAAAGGATCTATACCTTGTACTATTTTTTATAAGTTTTTTATATATACTTGTTCTTTTATATGAAAATATACACTTAGAGAAAAATAACTTTACCAGTTTCGTAATTTTTAGTTATATTAAATTAGTTATGAATTGTCTACTGAATTGGAGTTAGAAAATGATGTTTTGTGACCTATAGAGAGAAATTGTGACGCATATCTTTTTCTATGAGTATCTTATTTATGCTTTTATTTTTGTATGAAAATAGACAGTTAAATAAATGTAATACCACTAATTTTATGATCTTTGGATTTGTAATGAACAAGTTATGAATTTCACAATATAATGCATGAAATCTAG